CCCCCCCCCATTTTTTTCCCCAAATTACTGCATTATGCAGAAAAAAGGGTTTTGACATGTATACACACACACTCATTAGCTTGACACTAAACAGATCAACAAGTTACAGTGTAATAATTTTCAAGGAATAAAACAGATACTTTGGTAATTACAGCCTGGAATAACAGACATTTATTATACATACTGAAGTAGCTTGTAAAGGTCTCTGCAGCAATCAGGACACATTGTACTCAACACTGTAAAGACACAGAGAAGCAGAGACCCCACCCTAAAACACCTCCCAGTGTAAATACAACAGACAGACAAAATCTATTTACTTTTCATGACAACTCAGCCCTTGGCTCACCACAGACCAGGCACAGTTCAACACAAATGAGTCTGAACTTTCACAAAAAGTGTCTGATTCCCACAAAGGCTGCTCTTTCTGCAGTGGCTTTCCAAGGATCTTCCCTCCCTGTCAGTAGGAAAACCAGCAAGTATCAGTTCTAAATACGATTTTAAAAAATATATTTATTTATACACCTATTTAGATATGCAGTGATTTTAAATGAGCCACTGGATATCATCATGCATCTCTACTGCGCTTATTCCAGTTGCTTTATGGAAGTTTAAATATTTGCAGTATTCGTCTTCTAAACATACTTAATACCTCAGTAATCCTAGAAGCACATATAATGTAGTCATGTTAATTGACATTAACTCAGTGAATAACATAAACCAGTGCATAATTAAATTGCCAGACTTGATTCTCTTTCATTCATGCTCTTAAGAGTTTCCCATGACAAATAGTCTACATCTAAACTATGCTGATAGAACAAATAGCATACATTCTAATTAGACCACTTTATTAAATCAAATTGTGTTGCTCAGTGTGTCTGTGCAGGTTGTTCAGGCTTCAGTGTAAACTGCACCAATGATGATAAAATCTCTCAATAAAGCACTTCCGATCATTAGATTTCAAGGAGCGTTGTCTGAGGGGTAAGTCCCATTCTTCCCATTTGGGTGATAAGGCAACAGACCACAGAACACCTCAGAGAAATCACTTGTATGTCACCTTAGAGTCAAAGGGAAATAATTTGGCCTCTCGAGTCCCGCTCTAGAGGACAAAGTTTGATTTAATTAATCAAGTATTACCCGTAAAACAAACAAAGCAGCATGTGTTTCTATAGAAGCCCCTACCATTCATCCCTCCATCACCAACACTGCTGCTCAGCATTATAGTGGCAACAAGCAGAAGCACATCATCTTACAGCTGGTCTATTGTTAACATGACACATTAGCAGTGAGATTTACAGACACGTTTGCTTTTGAAATAAAGGTTTGCATGTTCAGAAATGCAAACGTTTTCTCTGTACAGGAGCTACACACCATAAAGCTGCTCCCTGGAAGCTGTGCTACAAAACTCAGAAGTGTAGTTGGGGTATCTGTGACTAGGTTTGCTGCCTGCCCCCAAAAATATGAGAAAGTACAGAGAATACACAGCTGCCAGAAAGTGCAGACCACAGTGACAGGCTGGTACAGCAGCTGCACTGAGGTCCTGAGCAACTCTTCAAAACGGTGGTAGAGCAGTGCCCTGAAAAAAGAGGACTGGACACATTTACTCAGCCTTTGTGTGAAAATCAGCATTTGCTTCTCAGAGGCAAATCCTGGCTCCATCAAAGCCAGCAACTGTTTTACTAATGATGGAAATTGGGTCAGGATTTCAATTCAGATTTTATTTCCAAATTTATTTCAAGAAAGGTTTTCTCTGTGAACAGTTGAGTTGAGGCAGGCAGATTTGCAGTTTTCTGTATCCACAGAACCACCACAAAAGCTTTTCTTAAAATCATGGTGCTTTGATTTTATTTTTTTGGAAGCTTTGGTGCTATGTTGTTTTGGAACCACATGAAGCTGAAGATGACACCCATTGTCTTCGGGAAAGTCTCATCATAAGCAAACTTCATGGAGTCTTCTAAGGGTATTTCTACAACTTCAATCAGCTCTCCTTCTTCAGGCTGGCCACCTCCTTCACCAGTTCTCATCTGGTCTGTTACTTCAGCATAAAATAACGTCTGCCTAGAACCTGTCAAACCAACTCCAGACCTGGAAAAAAGCAGAAGAAACTTTGGTTTAGATAAAAAGAAGGGAGCTAGGAGCTAGGAATGGAAACCTGGGTCCTTAACTTGTGTCACTAAGCAGCATCAAAACACATCCTCACCCTCTGCTAATGTAATTTAGAACCTATAAATGCAATTTTGTTAATACAGAAAATGATTGCAACTTTAATGCAGAAATATCAACACTTTGAATACAGTTGCATATGAAATGGATCTGCCTTCAAATCTATTCTGTAACTTTGTAAAAATGTTTGTTTGGGAGAAAAAAAAAAAAGGCTTTGAATTGGTGAACTGTTGTCCTAAATATACTAAAGTCAACAGTGTTTTCCAACTGACCTCAGTGAGATCTCCTTTAAAATTTTTTCTGAAATTTTGAAAAAATTTTTTTTGGGGAAAAAAAAAAAAGGCTTTGAATTGGTGAACTGTTGTCCTAAATATACTAAAGTCAACAGTGTTTTCCAACTGACCTCAGTGAGAGCTGGACAGCAGGATGACTCATAGAGATTTACAACCAACAGGAGGAAGCTCCTCCATGTATCTGTCTGCTATCACGCTACACTTCTTAGCTTGTTTTTACACAAATATTTAGATTTTTTACTCTTAAGAAGATTATGCCCATTCACAGCTGGAGCCCTCTATGCATGGACTGGAGAGGTACATGAGAGTTCTCCTCTATCCTTCCTGAACTTTAGCCTTGACCCAAATGGACCACTGTAAGCACGCATGTGTCTGAACTAATTCAGTCTCCCTACTAATTTTGTTACAGTGGATTTAGTTGAGGATATTTTAGATTATGTGGTTTGTCTTCAGCTAGACTGCTTGCTGTGTATTATACTACTTATTTGTTAATCCTCTATTTCCTTAGGACTATTTCATTTAGGTATTATTAAATAAGGGATAAGTACATAATCCACTCATTTAGTCCGTGCAAGAAAATATTCACATCGTAATCACAACTTCTTCATTTCACATGATTACAAGTGACTTTTCACATTGAACCTGGACCCAAAGTCCACTGAAACTATGAATCAAACGCTGGGACAAGCTGAAAAATTAGCCTCTCCACAGAGGATTCTAAGATTTGTAGCAGCGTTTTGATCTTAGAATGCATATTCATACTTACCCAACTATTAGTCAGCTAAATCTTTCAGCTAATCTAGCATAAATCACACTCCGTAGCAAGAATTAATCATTTATCTCTCAGTTTTCTAAGAACACTGGTAATTATTTTGTTTGGAAAATTGCTAGTGATTGTTGAAGTTGGTTTCTCACATCAATATATACTCTTTTTTTAAATGCAGAATCTAAAATAGTGTTTATTTATGCAGATATTCACAGCTTTTCTTATCTAACTACATGAGCATTTCAATGGTTGCAGAAAGAGGTTGAAAGATATAAAAAAGTACTTCAGTTTATAAAAAGAGACTTATTTCTTACATTTTTTAATTTGATATTTTGTTCCCTAAATGCTCTGGCTTACTCTGCCAGTTGATCATTTTTGCATGGATCCATGTGCAATGCTCTTTACTAAATTAAATATTCTCCAATATTGCCTACTGCTGTCTTTCACAATATTACCAGACTCTTAGATATTAATATATCCTGACTGTCTGTAGAAATTGGTCCAAAAATCAATGCTATTGACATTTCATTTGTCTTAGTACCTTTGTTATTTTTAAAAATGAAAAGGGAGCAGGTTTGTTGCTTTGAAGCTGTTCTGAGCCTCCATCTGGTTGAAGTAATGAAGTATTTTAACACATACCCTTGGAAAACGTGTATACTTTAATTGTCAGTGATTTGGGGTACTTGATACCAGAGAAGGAAGAGAGAAGAGAGGGAGAAGGTGGGTCTGACTGGTAAAGAAGCAATAGGCTGCTGTTATACTTTCAGGTTTATCTGTCACTAGGAGCTCCTTATGCTTTTGCACACTCACTTGCACTTTCCGAGTATGACATTTAAGGAATTTTGATGTGCCTTTTTCATTATTATATTCCTTATTCTACTGCCTTCTTCCTCTATCCCAAGTCTGTGACATGCTTTTCCTTGCCCTAGTAGTTCTCAGCTCAAATAAAATGCTCTTACCATGGTCTGAAATGAGTCACCTATTAACGGATTACAGCTACATTCATTAGCTTTGCATCTGTGAAAATCACAGAGGCCAGCATACCCAAACTGCAAGTGATGAGTTTCACCCTGGGAAAACCACCTTCCTGTTAGGGGTGTCTCCCCTTCCCAGTACCAGAGAGGCTTGGTCTGGGGGAGGACAAGCAGGGTCTGAACATTCAGCATCGGCTGAGGGGGAGATTTCAGGCTTCGGTCTCACTTCACAGGTTCAGCACCACGTTGCCCAGACCAAGCATGTCATGGCTCATACTGACCCAGACTTACTAAGCCTGGCTTGACCTAGCTGACTGTTCCAGATATCTTTTGATGTGTCTGTACAATGCTTGATTCTTATTCACCACTGTGGGACAAATGCAAATGATCTATACAAAATACAGCTCCATTTTCCTCTTCATCATGAGGATCAGTTTCCTATGAGCAGTTTATAGTTGGTCAGTTACCAGCTACATGCCTGACAAATGCTCTTTGTCAAATCATTAGGACTTAGGCTCACAAACCCTTTTAGAGAGAGAGATTTTTTAAAACCAAAAGTCTATTAGCACTAAACTTTTACTGTAGCTTCAGAGACAATTAGAAATCTCCATTACCTTTGGCAACAGCAAGTCTAAGAATGTAAGCATGTCAAAGTAAGGATACCAAAGTGGTATGGTTTTCATCACAAGAGTAAATTAAACGTAAGTTTAACATATCAAAACAAGATTGCATGCTGCATTCCCATATTTCATTTTAAATAAAACACTCAACACTGTGATTAAATCATGCTGTGGCTTTCAAAGCTGTGGGCAACCCACTTGTAGGCAACAAAACAGCAGAGAAGTGGCTTCTGCAGAATAACTGCAAAGTGCTTCTCCTCACCTCCTGCCCTGCGGTGGGAATGGATGACAGAACAAGGCTCTAACTAGAGTATTTTTTAGCTACTTCCCTCTTACATCGGGAGAAGACAAGAGACAGACTGTCACTCCAATCTGCTTTGGAAGCACGGCAATAGCAGCTATCACAAAGCCTTTGTTCTGCTCTTTTTAAATGCATGAGGAAATACACAAAACAGAGCTCACAAAACAGGACTTTTCACTCATCACCTCTAAGCTCATAAAAATAAAGAAGATACCTTACATACATATTTTTGTTCACAAGTGCTTAAAAGGAGCTTACTGCTTTAAAAAAAAAGCAAAACAAAACAAAACAGTAGTTTCTAAAAGCCACAAGTGAGAGTGAGTGTGTTTCTTCTCCCAGCACGGATGGACACACGCACAGCTGTAAGGAGGGTCGAAATTCAAAGCATGCACTCAACATTGGCTTTGCCTTCTTCTCACGTCTGGGTGCTCATCTATGCTGATCAATTCTTTCATTCACAATTACTACATTAATAAATATCACATTTTTAATTTGAAGGAACAAACATGTATGAGGAAATAAACTTCCTGCTGCAACGTGGGGAACAAACATATTGACTTACCATTGCGAAGACTTACTAGTTTAACTCAGATTTCTGATAGACAGCAGTTAAAAGCTACAATTCTCAACATTTCTTAACATTTAACAAATATTAATCTATAAGCAACTAACATTTACCTGTTCCTACCAACACAGAAATATTTTTTTTTGTTTTAGTTAATGTGAAAATCCCTAAATGCAATATATCCTTTTATCAGATGCAAACCATTTGGATGCAGAAATCGGGTATATAGTGAATACATAATTGATGTTTGCAAATAAATGTGGCATAAATCTCTGTTATTTATGCTGAAATCAAGATCTATTCAGGCATGCAACATGTAAACTGATGAACAGTGACAAGCAGCTCCTATTGTCACTTCTTAGGACCTTTGTACAGGTCTGACATTATAAGCAGCAGCTGCAGGAAAAAAGCAGAGAAGTAATTAACATAAAATTATATTACATTATGCCATCACCCAACAGGTGTACTAGCAGGTGATCTTTCTAATTATAATGCACTCCAGCATTTTCAAGGCTATTATTCTTTCTACATAATAACCTGTGAATACAAACCATTTTAACCTCATGGCACGGGGGCTAATCAACATAGCACAGTAATTGGAACATCCAATATTAATTCTATGAACACTTTTCTTTGTTGTATACTTTCGGGAAAAAAAACTACAAATGTAGGAAGATTAAAGTAAGTACCTATGTTAATATAGTTAGGTCCTCAAACTAATTCATCTGGCTTTTCTTGCAGTAGCTCTGATAATCTCTGGCTCCTATTGTATCCGATTCATAGCCAAGAGTTCATTACAACCTCTGGGAGAAAATCAAGAAAACATCAAGGGAAAAAAAAGTGGAACCAGAAGCTCTGGATCAACTTTATCTTGATGTTCTGAGGTGTTAATTAAGCCCAAATAATTTTATAAATATTCTTCAAGAAGACTAAACATTTCAAGAAGTAATAGGAAATACTGTAATACTGTTATTGCAATGGCAATAACATCTATAGCAACAACAACAGATTTCCCTGCCCCTGCCTTGTAAAGGAACAAGTCTCAGGGAATATAGCTGGAATACTTGAACCTAGGACACTAACTCACAGTTCAATTTCACACAGGATTCAACCTGAAAACTGCAGGGATACCGTGACAGAAAAGTTGTTTTATCTGATATCTGAGTAAGTGCAAAATAATTCACTTACAAAACTGTGCATCTAGGGGAAAAAAGAAAAAAAGAAAAGGAAAAAAAAAAGCCTGAAGGGAACCTTACAGGTTTGTGTCAGAGCTTTTGAAAATGAACAATTTAACTGAGAATCATTTTCATGAAGCTTCAGTTTATAATTCTACTACTCTAGCAGTCGTTTCATTTTATTATTGATCTAAATGGTTCCTTTACACCCATCATATCTACCACCTATGCCATTTCTGACTGAAGCCATACAGACAGTTGACATGAACTCAAGACACCAGTAGGCATCAAAACTTTCAGGAAGCCTTCAAAAGTGGCTTAGGTGCTGCCAGAAGAGAAAACAAACTTTTTGTAATACCAATATGAGGTTACTTAATGTATGTCAAGCAGAAAAGCAGCAGTTTGTGTAGCCATGATGAGAAGAAGAAAACCATGAAACAGGCAGCAGACACTCCAGATTTCAGATTGATTCCTGCCTCCATCTAGAGAGCAAAATGAACTATTTGCATTTAAATTAATCTTCTGGCTGGCATTTTTCTACAATAGGAACAGATATTTCTAATTCTTCAAAGTGTGCTTCCTCTGACGTCCTCCAATCAAGTCCCTCTTAATATGTTTGTCTTTCTCACTATCTGCCCCCATCCAGTCTCCTTCATTCACCCACACCACACTGTCCTGTCACTGGAACAACTTGTTCCAAAGACTCTTGCTCAACTAGCATAAATTCCTCAACTCCTGGCTTCTTTCCTGATTTCTCATTGACTCTGCAGCTACTCTGTGGATTATCCAAGGTAATTATTCAAGGTACGGTGTTCAGTTCTGGACCCCTGACTATAAGAAGGACACTGAGGTGCTGGAGCATGTCCAGAGGTGAGCTACGAAGCTCATGAAGGGCCTAGAGAACAAGTCATACAAGGAGTGGCTGAGGAAACTAGGGATGTTTAGTTTGGAGAAGAGAGGGGAGACCTCATTGCCCTCTACAGCTACCCAAAAGGATGTTGTAGGGAGGTGGGTGTTGGCCTCTTCTCCCAAGTAAATAATGACAGGACTAGAGGAAATGGCCTGAAGTTGAGGCAAGGGAGGTTCAGACTGGATATTAGGAAGAATTTCTATACTGGAAGAGTGGCCAGGCACTGGGACAGCCTGCCCAGGGAGGTGGTAGAGTTACTATCCTTGGAGGTATTCAAGAAACATGGAGATGCAGCACTTCAGGGAACACTTCAGTGGCCAAGCTTGTAGAGTTGTTTTTTTGTTGGGGTTTTCTGTTCAGTGCCTTACTTCTATCTGATGAATCTCACAGGAGCTTTGACAGAGCTTCAGAATGGGATCCAGCAGCTTATTTGTATGTGTTTTTTAAATAGTTGGAGTAATATTGTAGTTATCCTTTTCTGGTTAGCTGAAAAACATGACAAAAAATTTCCCCTAAAACCACTGTTGCAGGCCCTGATAATAAATGAGGAAAAAGATATGCAAAAATGCTATCTTCAGATTACCTCCAATCTTTACTGTACCTACTGCTGAGGAACAGAGCCAAGTTCTGCTTGAACACAGTCTTCCTCATTTCATTCAGCAGAATTCTCCATCACCATGAACGTGCTTTCCCTGAGGCCATTTACTTCTCAGGCTGTGTTTTTTCTGGGCACTGTTCCTTCATCACTTCTTCCCCTTTTTTGATGAGGAAGAGGAGAATCTTCTATTCCATTTTCCTTTCTTGCTTTAAGTTCTCCCTACACATTGTCCATGACCTCCCCTTCTCAATCCATCAGCCAGAGAACTGAACTGACCTCCCTAGCCAAACACATTTCTCCATTTACATTTGATGTGTCTTCTGCTCTCCATGTTCTTCTGTCAGGTCTAGCTCAAGTCCTGTAATTTCCTTCTCATAACCATGATTCCAGAAAGGAGAGTCGTGAAGAATACAAGACAACTCCTTGCTTTCAGTCCAAAGAGTTTGATGACGTGGAAGCCCATGTTTGTATGAGCATCTTTTCACTGTGCCCACAACTGTGAGTTTTTATCTATAAAAATATAATAGACTTTTCTGGGTAATTAGTAATTATAGTTACCTACATATTTTAATGCAGTTTTATTTGCATCAAGAGAGGAACAACAACTAACAGATTTGTCAAGAATGTATCAAATGCAATCAAAACAAATATCACATATAATAGAATAACAGGTTTTGTGGATAGGGGCAGCAACTCAAAAATATAACTTCATTATCGAGACTTTGAATAGGATCTAATGTGGTAGTTTCATTAAGAAGTAAGGAGATCATGATATACTTAGAAGAAACTGTGAAATGGATGCAAAACTAGTAAGAAAGTGGTACTCATGGAATGGATATCACTGTCAGATTGGAAGTACAACCTAAACAGGATTCCACTAGGGACCACCCTCCATTCAGTATAGCTCAATATTTTGTTTTAGGACTTGTATGCTGGAATGCAGGCTGCAAGTAGCAAAGAGGAGCTAGACTATTTATAAGAAGTTAGAGATGCTTACTAGAATTCAAAATATTCCCAACAACTTGGAGAAATTGTCTAAAAAACCAGGATGTGATTCAGTGAAGGCAAGTTCAAGGCTCTGTGTTCTGGCAGTGATAAGGAGCAGCACAAACACAGAGAGGGGGTGAAAGACAGAGCAGATCTGCTGCAGAAAATAGTTTGAGATAGGGGAGGCACTGTGGACAATAAATCAACAACATAATGCCACTGCAACTAAGGCAAACATCACACTGCATCATATAAACAATAATCTGTAAGCTTAGGGAAATACTGTTCCCACTCTGACACTGTTAAGAGCCCTTGCTAAAATGCTGTGCTCCACTTTGGGCAGTATGTTTTTATTAAATACTCAGACTAGATGGAGAAAAGGCAGAGGACAGTGGAAGGCATGATAAGACATCTAGAAAACATGGTCTAAAGAGAAAGTTAAATCACCTATGAGATAGTTTTGCATAGGCAAGAAATAAAATAAAGGGGAAATCAGAGGGCTGGAGTACCTCTCCTGTGAAGACAGGCTAAGAGAGTTGGGGTTGCTTTGCCTGTAGAAGAGAAAGCTCCACGGAGACCTAATAGCAGCCTTCCAGCACCTGAAGGGACTGCAGGAAAGCTGGGGAAGGACTTTTTTCAAGGCCATGGAGTGAGAGGACGAGGGGTACTGGATTACAACCGGAGGAGCGGAGATTTAGGTTAGACATTAGGAGGAAATTCTTCACTATGAGGGTGGTGAGACACTGGGACAGGTTGCCCAGGGAAGTTGTGGAAGCCCCATCCCTGGAAGTGTTCAAGGCCAGGTTGGAAGGTGCTTGGAGCAACCTGATCTAGTGGGAGGTGTCCTTGCCAGTGCAGGGCAGTTGGATGTAGATGATCTTGAAGGTCCCTTCCAACTCAAACCATTCTATGATATGATTCTATGAAATATGTGGAAAGTGCAGAAGTACTTCATGTCCACTGGGAACAGGGTAGTAAATCTCAGACTTGAAGTAAAGAAAGAGAAATTTAGGCAAGACATGAGACAGTCACAGCATGGAACAACAGCATAAACCATTTAGAAAAACCTGTTACACTTGGAACAAGCCCAGAAATTCTTACATGTTAAAACAGCCAAAATAGGGAAAAAATGTCCTAAGCAGACCATAGGACCATCAGTTAGTTTCTGTCTTTGCATCAGATCTTCAAGGATCAGAGGGATAAGCCAGTTTTTGGCTGAAGGAAGAACAGGACATTCCTAATAGGCACATCATAACATTTAGGATAAAATTCTCAGAGCATAGGAAGTCCAACAAAAACTGTAAAATACCATATTTGAGGTTTCAGCTCTTCATATCTATCTAAAAGAGGAAATACTACACAGGCCCTTCTGACTTTAGCATGGATCCCTAAGGACAGAAAGCTGTGCCCACAGAGACAAAGCAGGACTGAGCGATTATCATATTAAGTGCCCTTTGCATGGGTCTCAACAGAGAAAACTCCAATTGTGTACTCTCTTTGCAAGTCAGTGCCATTAAAAAAACAAGTGGGAAGGACAACCACCTGTAAGATACAAAGCCATTCATAAACCAAAAAACATATAGAGCTTTTGCCAGATGTAAAACATTCATGTTGACTCAATCCTCTACACTGAGGATACAAACTTCTACAGCTAAAGAAATTAGATTTTATTCTACCTATTTTGTTTTCATACACACATGGATACATCTGCATCCTGTGGCCTGTCAGTGTCACGGAACTGATGAAATTCTACAGACAGCTTTCACTCATAAATCTAGCAGGCACTTTTTCTTTCAGTATAACAAACCCTTAATCTAGTTTCTAGGAGTTGAAAAAGAAAGCTCCTGTGATTCACCCCCTCCCCTCAACAGAAGCACTGCATGTTAATCCAGCAGGAAATAACATTTGCCAGGATTGACAGCTGTGGGTTTGTATTCAATTCCCAAATTAAAAACCAATTACAGGGTCTAGTTCAATGGAGATGTCAAGCAAAATAAAGAAAGTAAAAAATCTGCTTTCTCTATAAAATACAAACATACATACATCTTGGATAAGAATCATAAAAGCTGGGGAGGAGATATAATGGGATTAAAGCTGTGTGCAGTTTCTCCTGAGTTTGGTTGGGTTTTTTTGTTATTTTTCCCCTCCAAGAACTCTTTTTCCTTTTACATATTAAGTTTTTCTCTTACTCCTTACATGTTTAATAACATGTTAAAATCTACTTCAATGACTATTTAAAACTCTGCAAAAAATAGAATTTAAACATTTTCACATTCAACTCATTAAAATCTCCATATATAACAACTCATCAAAATCTCCCTATATAACATGGATTATTGCTCAATTCCAAGAAGCCCAGTGCAACTTTTCCCAGTTCTAATAGTTTTTTTTTGATAAATCACAACAGTATCATTCTTACTCGGAATTTAATCTGGTAATTATGAGTTTATAATTCCTTAAATTCCTAAATCCTCCTCTCACTTGCAGAAAATTACATCTTTCAGATACTTTGAGATGTCCATGCTCCTCCAACATGTGGCTTGAACAAGGGGACAGGGAACATTAAGGTACAAGCCACTTCAGAAATCTGTGAAGCAACAAAACACGTGTTTTTTCTGACTGCTGTTTACCTGTAAGAAGTGATCCTCCTCAGGTCTGTCACAGCAACACGATAGCCACACTCTTCTAAGACTTCCCCACATGCAATTTCTTCTAAAGAAAGGTCTGGTTTGTCTACGATGCCAGCACAGAGTTCATATGTCACTCCTACCACAGCAGGTAAGGTATCCTCCAGACAAGAGAAGCTCTCCTTGTCCTGATTCTGAAAGACTTGAGGATGATGCCTTTCTACTTCACACATGTAAACAGCTTTAAAACAAACAAACAGACAAAATAATAGTGTTTTTAAAAATTGTTATTTTATACATATTAAATAGAAAACACAGAGATTTTATCTGGGAATTTATAACCATCAGAGCATTTGAGAGTATCACAGAATTCAGCTATGTTATCTATTAATATTCTAACACACTGAAATAGGAATTTCAGAGAACAAAGAATCTCCTGGCATTTTTGTAAAATGAATCTTTAAACTCTATTTGTGCTTACATAATTTGTAATGAGTTCATGCACGCCTTAAATACATCTGTGACTCCCCCCGTAGGAGGCTGAGTTAGACAGACAGCAAAACTGGCCAGATATATTCCATTCCATATATCTACGTAAGCTCAGAGGAAGGTCAGAGATCACAGAAGACAACTTCCTTCTTTCTTCTTTCTTCCCTTCTCTTCCGTCCATGGCCGGCGTCCAGGGAGGACTCCGTCCATCCATCACAGTCGACCCTTAGGCTTGAGCTCTCGTGACCCTCATCACTCTGTGCTTTCTCCAGCAGCAGCTCCGGGATTCCTGGGACTCTTCCCAGTTCAGGGGAGTGCTGTGGGAGTTGCTGGGGATGGGGAGAGGTGAAAGGCTTTTGCCCGTATCTGAACATATTTGTATATAATTGTATATATTCTCTTATTTCATTCATTAGTGTTTAATTAAAGCTGTGTAGTATAGTTTTCAATCCAGTCAAGTCTCTCTCTTTTTCTCTCTCTCCTTCCCTACCTGGGTGGGGATCGAGAGCATTGTTGTCTGACCTGAGTCAAACGGTGCAGCAGCTGCAGGAGATGCGGCTGCACTGGCTCGAGATCCAGCGGAGGCAGCTGCGCAACCTGGTGCTGGAGCTGAAGGGCAACATCTGTGTGTTTTGCCGGGTCCTTTCGGTGCTTCCCAAGGAGCAGGGGGGAGAGCATTGTTGTCTGACCTGAGTCAAACGGTGCAGCAGCTGCAGGAGATGCGGCTGCACCGCTTGGAGATCGAGCGGAGGCGGCTGCACAACCTGGTGCTGGAGCTGAAGGGCAACATCTGTGTGTTTTGCCCGGTCCCGTCGGTGCTGCCCGAGGAGCAGGAGGGGGGGGGGGGGGGGGGGGGTGGGGCCCCGC